GATTAACAACCCCTCTGCTACTTAATTGACCAGATCCATATCCCAGGAGTTTAATTGACTTGATGCTATACACTGATTAAAAAGTGTTCCTTTAATTTTTTTGAGCAGTGTATGTTCAACTCATCAACATGCATATTGTTTGTTTGTTTTTACCAGAAAAAAAGATGCACATTATTTAGGTATGAAACACACAGATGAAATGCATATAAAGAAGCTGTTTTAGCTGATAATTTGCTTTTATGTCTAATTGGAAAGGAAACCGGGGCGGACTGACCATTCGAGCACTGCCAGAGGGCCCGGGGTCAGTAGGGGCCCCATAAAATGCCCCTGGTACCTTTTATAGGCTTTTTTGGGTGTGTTTTGAGTGTGGGCAAGGACACAGGGGCCCCATGATCCCCAATTGCCCGGGGACCCCATGAGTTGTCAGTCCGCCCCTGGAAGGAAAACACTCTCTGATAGGAGATACAGTGATGTCATCCTCCCACTTCTAGCCTGGTGATTGGACAGTAAAAGAGCAGCAGCATACTGATGCTATTTTTGCTCTCTTCTCCTGTCAGCATATTTGCATATACAGTACATCCGATTAGTTGCTGGTGGTACAAATGTATTAGTGATTTAATCATTAAAACACAGCTGCATGAATTTGTATCTTTTAAATCCATCTAGAGTCAATCTTTTACAAAAGAAAGCCTAATTTTTCTCATGAATTGTTAAAAAAGAAAAGAAAAGACTCAATGGAGTAAGCTATTAGGCATGTACTACTTACCATTATGATAGTTATTTTAGTCCATGTGACAGTTTCATTGACTCTCATTGCTGAAATTAATGGTCATTATATCAAATAACAGTCCTTATAGCATAATGTTATTAAATCCCCACTTCAAGCAAGCTCCTTTTCCCTGCTCCCCTCACTATATACCTCACTGAAATTCACAGATATCGTCAGCCCAAAGCTAATGATATATTAACAAGTGGTAATCTGTTTGACAATCTTTACAATGAACATTTTGAGTCAAAACACTTTGGAAAAAAATTTAAAAAAATGTTGCACATGCTGGAAACTCATTTAATCTGTGCAAAAATGTGAAAAACAAATTGAAAAATCCCCTTTTCATTATTAAAAAGCAAAAAAAACATACAATATTGAAAAGATGACTTGCAATACATGTTTACAATTGAGTTTAATATTCTGTTGCTGCATATTATCTCAATAGATCATGTAAATTCCCCACATTCTATGGTAATTAATACGCATTGTATGCATACATAAGTCTAACAAGTTACTCTATTTTTTCCTTTGTTTTTTTTTTCATTGACCTGCATTATCTTGTGTTATTTTTACACTTTCTGTCTTATTGTTTTCATTGCTTAGCAAGGTGGAATCCTTAATTCTGCAGACAGCCCCTTGTTGAGTTTGTCAATCATTATACAGTGTACAGTATACCCTATCCTATATTGCCTGTATCTCTTGGTATCAAAAGGAATGTGGTAAAACCACTAGCTGAAACATAGTCATGGATACTGTGATTCCAGTTTCCCCCTTGAAAAAGCTGCCATTTTCTGTCTCTCTTAACCACTTACCCTCTAGAGGATTTACCCCCCTTAATGACCAGGCCTCTTTTTGCTACTCGGTGCTCCACTAATTCAACTGATAATTGCGCAGTCATGCTGTACTCAAATGAAAGTTAAGTCTTTTGTTTCACACAAATAGAGCTTTCTTTCGGTGGTATTTGATCACCTGTGCGCTTTTTATTTTTCGCGCTATAAACAAAAAAAGACTGAAAATTTAAAAAAAAAAAAAAAATTTTACTTTCGGCTATAAAAAATATATAGTAAACTTAAAGTTAGTTATATAAATTTAGGCCTAAATGTATTCTGCTACATGTTTTTGGTAAACAAAATCCCAATACGTGTATATTGATTGCTTTGTGTGAAAGTTTTATAGCGTCTACAAACTATGGTATAGATACTGCAATTTACGCCATTTTTTTTGCTTATACAGCACTGTGCTAGTTTAACTGACAATTGCGTGGTCATAAATGAAATGAAAATTTATGTCCTTTTTTTCACACAAATAGAGATTTCTTTTGGTGGTATTTGAAACACCTGTGTGCTTTTCATTTCTAGGCGCTATAAACAAAAATTTTGAGAATTTTTTTTTTTTTTTTTTTTAAATTAAAAACAATATTTTCTCATTTCTGTCATAAAAAAAATCCAAAAAAAACTAAAATTTCGTCATAAATTTAGGCCAAAATGTATTCTGCTACAGGACCTGAGCCCTGCTGTCTTCCACTCTCCACTGTACATGAGGATGACAGCAGCGGAAGAGGAGGCTTTCGGAGGAGGGGACAAACTCACAAGATTATCTCCAGCCATCTAAAGAGAAAGACCTCAAAAAAAGAGAGCTCCCCTAGTGACTATCTTACCGTATTGAAGAGACTGCACCGTGTCCTTAAAGGGGACCTCCGCTTGCATATTCCTGATGATATCCATCCATCCTGGGTCGATTCCATTCCTATCCTGAGAGGGACCCATTGGCAGACCTCCATTTAACTATGCATTGCGCAAAAACCTTTGCGCGTTCGGAGAGTGCGGCACTTTATCCGTACTTTGCCTCTCATCTATTGAAGAAGTGATGAATTGAGATATCTGAAGTCATACTGAGCTCTTATAATACCATTATGAACTTCTATCATTTATACATGTGTTTTGTTTTATTTATTGAAGTCCTATTCACATTTCATATTTTAGCGCTGCACTTATTTTACTTTATATGTTATTTTGAAGGTTTATGGTTTCCTTTACTGTGCATAGCTGCTTATTTATATTGAGTGCTCGCTGAGTTGTTTATCCTTCTTATTCTGCTACATGCTTTTGGTTAAAAAAATCCAATAAGTGTATATTGATTGCTTTTTGTGTGAAAGGTATAGTGTTTACATTACTATGGTACAGATAAATGGAATTTACACAGCTTTTACTTTCTGACTGCTCATTTCTTGAGTTGCTAAAATACCAAGGATAGTACATACACCCCCAAATGACTCCTTTTCGGAAAGTAGAAACCTAAGCTATCTGCTGTATGGCATATTGAGTCCATGGAAAATTTATTTTTTTCCACAAGTTTCTGGAAAAATGACAAAAACGTTTTTTTTTTTTTTACACAAAGTTGTCATATAAATGATATATTTCACGCACAAGCCATGGGTATATGTGGAATTACACCCTAAAATACATTCTGTTACTTCTTACCAAGTATGGGGATACCACATGTGAGACTTTTTGGGAGCCAGCCTAGCCACATACTGTTAGGAATGGGACTGGCCAGCAATGGTGGGACTCACCTGCCTTTTGATCTGCAGTACCAGGGCTGGCAGCGGGTGGTGCTCCCAGCAATCAGAGACTCAACTTTCAGCAGCTAACACCTGGAACTGATGATACTGGGGTATTTAAGGATGGCCAGACTTGCAGACTCTGCCTTGTGTTGTGTTTGTCCTGGGCCCTGCATCCTGTTTCTGTCCTGCATCCTGGTTCTGTCCTGCATCTGTTTCTGAACCGCTGCTGACTTCTCCTGCTCTGATCCCGGCTCGCTCCTGACCAAACCCTCTGTCTGACCCTCTGTACCACGCTGCTTGCTACCTGTTCTGATCCCTGGCTTGTGACCCGACCAATCTCCGCGTTGCTCCCCCTGTACCTACCTGCCTTATTGATATTGACCCGGCCTACCTGACGACGCTTGCTTGTATGTATGTTATCTGTGGGTGGTTTGGTTTGGTTTGGTTGCACTGTATTATGTTTAGTATTTCACTGCGTTTATGTTTGTATTGTTAGTGTTAATAAATTATATTGTTTTATAACATATCTGAGGTCTGCGTTTCCCTGCGTCAGTCACACATCTCTGGTCACACTGGGAGCCCTGACATTACACCAAGGCCAATCCTGGACCAGAAGTGGCTGCACAGGGAAGCCATCTTGGCTTGTTGATGGGAAGGATGGATCTTGATGAGGTTGAGTATTTATCTCTGCTAGTGCTTGATGACAGAGAGTATGCTTATCAGACTCTGAAGGAGTATCCCGGGATGAACTGCTAGAATGTATCCGGCTCGCTCATGTTCTAGTAGATCAGGGCACAGATTTCTCTATGGTGCAGCCATTGATTCTGGTTTGTGTTGAGTTGGTTTCATCTGGTTTCCCCGAATGCAGGGATGAATTTTTGCCACCATTTAGTGCAGACCAGGTTGAGTCCTGGTGTGGTTATTTAGAGGATGATGTGGATTACTTTCTGGAGCGTTATTCCACATGTTCACCACAGACACTAAGAGATTGTTTAAACGGCTTAGTGCAGTCATTGACCAGACAGGCTTTGTGTAAGCTCAGCTTTGTTCAACCCATACTGCAGACATGGACAGACTTGTTGCACCCAGCCTCAGTCAGCTTACAAAAACCCAGTCTGCTTCTAACTCTACTCCTGTATTTCCACCAGCTCCTCCAGTTACAGCCCAGTATACTTGGGCTATCTACCGCATGTCAGTACCCTGTTCCCACTCGCTGCACCTATCCTGCCTTTAACCCTGTAAAAAAGCCCTCTGTAGCAACTGCTCCTCTCCTGTTCCATCCTCCAGTTTTCTCTGTCTCCAGCTGCTCCATTCGTTTGCAGACCTGCGTTTACTTGCAGTGCTCCAGTAGTTAAAACCAGAAAAAAGCGAAAATTCTTTCCAACCAATACCATCCTGCCAGTATCCAAAACGGTGAGCCTGCCGTCTGAGAACCTGCCTTCCGTGGTTCGCCTGATGCCTCTACTCGGCATGGATGCCTCTACTCGGCCTGAAGCCTCTACTCGGCCTGATGCCTCTACTCGGCCTGAAGCCTCTACTCGGCCTGATGCCTCTACTCGGCCTGATGCCTCTACTCGGCCTGATGCCTCTACTCGGCCTGAAGCCTCTACTCGGCCTGAAGCCTCTACTCGGCCTTGAAGCCTCTACTCGGCCTGATGCCTCTACTCGGCCTGATGCCTCTACCCAGCATGATGAACTGGTCCAGCCTGACGATCCTATTAGGCCAGTTGACTCGATGCCCGCTGTTGATCCAGATGATCCAGGTACCTGATCCGGTGCCCGCTGTCGAGCCAAATGACCTGATGCCTGGTGACCCAGTGCCCGCTGTCATACCTGGTGACCCGGATGCCCGCTGTCGAGCCAGACAATCCGGTAACCTGATGACCCGGTGCTCACTGTCGTGCCTGTTGACTCGGAGCCCACTGCCTTGCCAGATGACGCGGGGCCCGCTGTCAAGCCAAAATGACATGATGCCTGGTGACCCAGTTTGCCGCTGTCCAGCCAGACGATCCAATGTCTGACCCAGTGCCCGCGGTCATACCAGTTGACTCGGAGCCCACTGCCTTGCCAGATGGACGCGGTGCCCGCTGTCGAGCCAAATGACCTGATGCCTGGTGACCCGATGCCCGCTGTCCAGCCAGACGATCCAATGTCTGACCCAGTGCCAGCGGTCATCCCAGTTGACTCGGAGCCCACGGTTGTGCCTGGTGACTCGGTGCCCGCCGCCCCGCCTGGGGGCCTGAGACCTGTCGTTCCGCCTGGGGGTCCGGCACGCCACTCCGCCTGAGGGTCCGAGACCTGTCGCTCCGCCTGGGGGTCCGGCGTCCGCCACTCCGCTTGAGGGCCCGAGACCTGTCGCTCCTCTGGGGGTCCGGCGCCACGCCGCTCCGCCTGAGGGCCCGAGACCTGTCGCTCCACCTGGGGATCCGGCGCCCGCCGCTCCGCCTGAGGGCCCGAGACCTGTCGCTCCACCTGGGGGATATCCGGCGCCGCCGCTCCGCCTTTGAGGGCCCGAGACCTGTCGCTCACCTGGGGGTCCGGCGCCGCCGCTCCGCCTGAGGGTCCGAGACCTGTCGCTCCGCCTGGGGGTCCGGCGCCCCTGCCGCTCCGCTTGAGGGCCGAGACCTGTCGCTCCTCCTGGGGGTCCGGCGCCCGCCGCTCCGCCTGAGGGCCCGAGACCTGTCGCTCCGCCTGGGGGTCCGGCGCCCCGCCGCTCCGCCTGAGGGCCCGAGACCTGTCGCTCCACCTGGGGGTCCGGCGCCCGCCGCTCCGCCTGAGGGCCCGAGACCTGTCGCTCCATCTGGGGGTCCGGCGCCCGCCGCTCCGCCTGAGGGCCCGAGACCTATCGCTCCTCCTGGGGGTCCGGCGCCCGCCGCTCCGCCTGAGGGCCCGAGACCTGTCGCTCCGCCTGGGGGTCCGGCGCCCGCCGCTCCGCCTGAGGGCCCGAGACCTGTCGCTCCATCTGGGGGTCCGGCGCCCGCCGCTCCGCCTGAGGGCCCGAGACCTGTCGCTCCGCCTGGGGGTCCGGCGCCCGCCGCCCCGCCTGGGGGCACGATGCCCGTCGCCCCGCCTGGGGGCACGATGCCTGTCGCCCCGCTGGGGGCACGATGCCTGCCGCCCCGCCTGGGGGCACGATGCCTGTCGCCCCGCCTGGGGGCACGATGCCTGTCGCCCCGCCTGGGGGCACGATGCCTGTCGCCCCGCCTGGGGGCACGATGCTGTCCCCCGATGCCTGTCGCCCCGCCTGGGGGCACGATGCCTGTCGCCCCGCCTGGGGGGCCCGATGCCTGTCGCCCCGCCTGGGGGCCCGATGCCTGTCGCCCTCCTGGGGGCCCGGCGCCTGCTGCTCCGCCCGGGGGCCCGGCGCCTGCTGCTCCGCCCGGGGGCCCGGCGCCTGCTGCTCCGCCCGGGGGCCCGATGCATGTCGCCCCGCCCGGGGGCCCGGTGCCTGCTGCTCCGCCCGGGGGCCCGATGCATGTCGCCCCGCCCGGGGGCCGGTGCCTGCTGCTCCGCCCGGGGGCCCGGTGCCTGCTGCTCCGCCCGGGGGCCCGGTGCCTGCTGCTCCGCCCGGGGGCCCGGTGCCTGCTGCTCCGCCCGGGGGCCCGGTGCCTGCTGCTCCGCCCGGGGGCCCGGTGCCTGCTGCTCCGCCCGGGTCCCGATGCATGTCGCCTCCGCCCGGGGGCCCGGTGCCTGCTGCTCCGCCCGGGGGCCCGATGCATGGCGCCCCGCCCGGGGGCCCGGTGCCTGCTGCTCCCCGCCCGGGGGCCCGGTGCCTGCTGCTCCGCCCGGGGGCCCGGTGCCTGCTGCTCCGCCCGGGGGCCCGGTGCCTGCTGCTCCGCCCGGGGGCCCGGTGCCTGCTGCTCCGCCCGGGGTCCCGATGCATGTCGCCCCGCCCGGGGGCCCGGTGCCTGCTGCTCCGCCCGGGGGCCCGATGCATGTCGCCCCGCCCGGGGGCCCGGTGCCTGCTGCTCCGCCCGGGGGCCCGGTGCCTGCTGCTCCGCCTGGGTGGCCCGCTGCCTGCTGCTTCGCCTGGTAAACCGATGTGCCTCTGCCCGGAGTCCTGCCCGATGTGCCTCTGCCCGGAGTGCTGCCCGATGTGCCTCTGCCCGGAGTCCTGCCCGATGTGCCTCTGCCCGGAGTCCTGCCCGATGTGCCTCTGCCCGGAGTCCTGCCCGATGTGCCTCTGCCCGGAGTCCTGCCCGATGTGCCTCTGCCCGGAGTCCTGCCCGATGTGCCTCTGCCCGGTGTGCCTCTGCCCGGTGTGCCTCTGCCCGGTGTGCCTCTGCCCGGTGTGCCTCTGCCCGATGTGCCTCTGCCCGATGTGCCTCTGCCCGATGTGCCTCTGCCCGGTGTGCCTCTGCCCGGAGTCCAGCCCGGTGTGCCTCTGCCCGGAGTCCAGCCCGGTGTGCCGCTGCCCGGAGTCCTGCCCGGTGTGCCAGTCTTTGATATCCCGCCAGTTACCAGACCCGGGCGGTGGAACATTTTGCCCAGCTAGGACTGTTTGGAGCGTCCTGAGGCCGCTCCTTGGGGGGGGGGGTACTGTTAGGAATGGACTGGCCAGCAATGGTGGGACTCACCTGCCTTTTGATCTGCAGTACCAGGGCTGGCCAGCGGGTGCTCCCAGCAATCAGAGACTCAACCTTTCAGCCAGCTAACACCTGGAACTGATGATACTGGGGTATTTTAAGGGATGGCCAGACTTGCAGACTCTGCCTTGGTGTTGTGTTTGTCCTGGGCCCTGCATCCTGTTTCTGTCCTGCATCCTGGTTCTGTCCTGCATCCTGTTTCTGAACCGCTGCTGACTTCTCCTGCTCTGATCCCGGCTCGCTCCTGACCAACCCTCTGTCTGACCCTCTGTACCACGCTGCTTGCTACCTGTTCTGATCCCTGGCTTGTGACCCCGACCAAATCTCCGCTTGCTCCCCCTGTACCTACCTGCCTTATTGATATTGACCCGGCCTACCTGACGACGCTTGCTTGTATGTATTGTTATCTGTGGGTGGTTTGGTTTGGTTTGGTTGCACTGTATTATGTTTAGTATTGCACTGCGTTTATGTTTGTATTGTTAGTGTTAATAAATTATATTGTTTATAACATATCTGAGGTCTGCGTTTCCCTGCGTCAGTCACACATCTCTGGTCACACCTGGGAGCCCTGACACATACAGGAGCCTGAAATCCAATGACCACTTTGAAAGCCTGAAGGTATGTAGAGTTGTGTTCAAAATAATAGCAGTGTGTTGAAAAAGGTAAATAAAGCTCAAAATCCTTAGGTAAATTTAGACCTTCTTTGATCTTCCTGGAGCTGATTGTTGGCTGAGTCCTTGCCATTTTGGCTATTTTTCTATCCATTTGAATGGTAGTTTTTCGCTTTCTTCCATGTCTTTCAGGTTTTGGTTGCCATTTTAAAGCATTTGCGATCATTTTAGCTGAGCAGCCTATCATTTTCTGAACGTCTTTATATGTTTTCCCCTCTCCAATCAACCTTTTAATCACGGTACGCTGTTCTTCTGAACAATGTCTGGAACGACCCATTTTCCTCAGAATTTCAGAGAGAAATGCACTGTAACCAGCATGTACAACATTTGCTGCCTTCCTTCCTTAAATAAGGGCAATAATTGCCACCTGTTTTTCAAAGAATGAATGACCTCACTAATAGAACCCCACACTGCTATTATTTTGAACATGCCCCTTTCATTTAGTGATTCAATTACACAGAATCAGCAGCATGCTTGTCATGACTGTTGGGTCTGTTGGATTTCTATTACTCTACTACACCTGCTAGTAAATTATTTGCCATGTAGATATATCATTTCTACCAAAAACAGTGATTGATCAGGTGATATCTGACTGCTAATATTTTGAACACAACTATAACTTTCTCATTTCACTTTCTCACTACCTATCACAGTTTCAAAGGCCCTGAAATGCCAGAATAACACCAACCCCCCCCCCAAATAACCCCTTTTTGGAAAGTAGACACCCCAAGGAATTTAAAAAGAGGCATGGTGAGTATTTTGCACATCTAATTTTTTCTCACAAGGTTTTGAAATATGTATATAAAAAAAGAAAAAATAACTTTTTGTCTTCATCTTCCAAAAACTTGTGGCAACAAACAAGATCTGCAAAATACTCACCATGCTTCTTATCAAATTCCTTGGGGTATCTACTTTCTATAAAGTGGTTATTTGGGGGGGTTAGGTGTTATCCTGGCATTTCAGGGCCTCCGAAACTGATAGGTAGTCAGGAAGTGTAATGAGGAAATAAAGCCCTTTAAAAGCCTGAAGGTGCTTATTGGATTTTGGGGTCCTGTACTTGGCTAGACTGCCAAAACGTCTCTCACATGTGGTACCACCATACTCGGGAGAAATAGCAGAATGTATTTTTGGGAGTAATTCCACATATACCCATGGCATGTGTGAGCAATAAATAATTTAAGTGACAATTTTGTGTAAAAAAAAAAAAAAAATTTGTTTGTCATTTTCCAAAAACTTGTGGTAAAAAAAATTTATTCTTCTATTGATTCAACATGTCTCTTATCAAATAGTTTGGGGTGTCTACTTTCCAAAAAGAGGTAGTTTTGGGGGGTGGGGGCATTTTATTCCCAGCTTTAGAAGTTTATGCCACACATCATTCACTCTTCTAACCACCTGAAGACCAACCCTTTTCTGACACTTTTTGTTCACATGAAAAAAATCTGTATTTTTTTGCTAGGAAATTAATTTAAACCCCCAAATATTATATATTTTTTTTTAAAGCAAACACCCTAGTGAATAAAATGGTGGGTGCTGAAATTTTTTATGTCACATAGTACTCCCGCAGCGATTTTTCAAACGCAATTTAAAAAAAAAATACACTTTTTTTACTTTTAATGCACAAAAAACACAATATATTGGCCAATTATTTGATAAAGTATAAAAGATGATGGTATGCCGAGTAAATAGATACCAAACATGACATGCTTTAAAACTGCGCATGCCCCGTGCAATGGCGACAAACTGCATACATTTTTAATATCCACAGGCAACGTTTTAAAAGCCTTTTACAAGCTACCATTTTAGATTTACAGAGGAGGTCTAGTGTTAGAATTACTACCCTTGATCTGACGTTCATGGCGATACCTCACATGCATGGTGCAACTGCTGTTTCCATACAGGCTCACGAACGCAGGTGTGCAGGGGGGTGAGGGTACTTTTTTTTTTTTTTTTTTTA